GCTTGGAAGGTTGTCAACAGTGCCCGCTGCGAGCTTTTGCCTTCAACTGTTTTTGCAAAAGGGAGGGGGATCAAGGTCGTTCAAGAAAAGTTGCGCGAGTAATAACACAATGAAGAATGAGGGCTACTCTTCAGGAAACAAGAATCCCGTGACTGGCTGAAATGACTCAGGGCAACAGCTATTCCCACTGCTCTGTCTCTGGCAGGAAGGTTCTAAATTTCGAGTCCCGACGGATTCTCTACACTATGTAGATACCTTGGTCATTTTCAACAACTGACGAGAAGAATTCTAGTAGCCGGCTCCTCTGTTCGGTAGTTTTCCGTCATCTATCCGAATTATGCCAGGTAAATGCTAGAGCAGTGTCATAACAGCGCACGTGTACTTGACCAGTCATGTCATATCCTCTTCTCTTAAACACAAAGCGCCATTATTTACGTCGGGAGACGAGTCAGCAGCTTGGAGATTGTTCCGGCTCGGACGTTGCTCCATTGGCGGAGATACGTGGAAGGGGAGAGCCGTCACGTAGATCGGCGCCGGATTTCACGTTCTAGCGGGGAATACCACTCGGAATATACACGCACTACACCTACGAGACTAATAACCACAGTAGTCGACGCGCTCGAAAACAAAATAAACACTGGATCCGTGTGTGTGTGAGAGCTCGGAGAAAAGTGGCAAGAACGCCTTCATGATGCAACGACATGGACAAGTAGTTGAACGAGAAACAGTGAAGAAGAATGTTGGTGACACGACAGGGAAAACTACCCAAGAACAAACGTCTTCGGTGTGAATGCTCATTACGTCTTGATACGTTGAACCCCAATAGGAAACACCACCCGACGATGAAAAACATGCACTATTTTTTGAAATGTTGAAAGTGAAGTACTTAGTAACTTACAAAATGGATATTTTCGTGATGTCACTACAAAAAAATTACACAAACTTAAAGAATGTTGGAGTAATCACAAACATAATCACTCGATAGATTCTTGAAAAAAACTTACTTTCAGGGACGTGTATCATCTGTAAAATATACCTAAATTGTTAAAATCTATACGTAATTGCTAAATCATATTTTCCCAAATAAATACGTTTGTTCACGTGATGGTAACAAGGAAACATTCCCTTTATTACACAAATAATTGATAAAATAACACAATCACAAAACTCAATTTATCTCAATTCCCTACCCTGGTGGGTAAGCTTCCAATCCCACGGGACGCCTCAATTAATTTTATTAATTTACAAATTTTGAAGAAAAAATAACAATTTGTTAAATAAATTATCTTTGACATTAAATTTGTAGAAAATATTTAATTTTTTTATTAAAGCTCCAATTCAAAGAATAAGCAAGTCAAAATATTTCAGTAGCAGAAGAACCAGATCACTTAAAGGTATATCTAAATATGAGAGATCTGCACTCAAAAAATTCCAAATTAAGGAACTTGTTTTTCTCTGCTTCAAATTATTTTTATCACACATTTTTGTGCGCGAATTACTACTGATACGATTTAATCATTAAAATATCAAAATCTTTTTATATTTGCATGAGCAAATATCTAATTTACATTATACGAAAATGTGCAGAAACGTACTTAGGGACCCAGTGGATATATTTGTGTACACCAACTTTCCACACGATTCACAATTCAAATGACCTCTGATGACTTGTGTGATACAAATGCTGGATGAGCGATTTATGAGTTGACGCGATGGTGCAACTTGTACACTCTCTAGAGAGAGCAGGTGGGTAGACCAAGTAGACCTTGGAAGAACGGGAGTGGTGAACAACTACAGGGGACATAAAGGAACCGACAGAACGCACGATACAAGACTGCACTAATGTTTGTCGACTTTAAAGATGAAAAAAGCCCGACAACTCGAAGAAAGAATACATGGAAAGGGACAGAAGTATATTGATATGCAAGCAAGACACTGACTGTAATCTTTCGCTTGGTAAGCTCGCGCAGAAAAAGGGAACTGTGCGGAAGCCAAGAGAAATTGGACCCGTCGCGTTTCGGTAAAAAAGTAGCAGCCAAAGCAAAGTAGCGATCAAGTTCGTCGAGCGCGACATCAGGTGAATACCAGAACACCCGACAGTTGTCGCGTGTGCACAGTAAACATGCAATGCAGCGCAAGCCGAACGCGCGAAGTTGAAACCGATGAGATGAGAAGAAACAAAATGAACGATGGAGAATGGTCGACTGAAGAAGACAATGTTAATAACATATCAGGCTCGAACGAAAGACAAAGAGATACGGAAGGAAGAGAGCGAATTGAGCGATCAACGTAGCTGTGAATCGCATCACGGATATGGGAAACGCGATAACGGAGCATATGAACAAGACAGTTGGCGCAATCGGGAGCAGTACGCCGAACAGTACGATACGAACGGCGGCTCAGCCGACGACGGGAACACGACCTCAGTGACCCCGCACAGCATGTTCACCATTAGGGACGTTGAACGAATCGTGCTTCTCCGGGAATGACGGGATGTCGCTGAAAATGGATCCGCGAGTTTGAGGGCGTCAGCGAGCTCGTGGAATGGAATGATATACAATAAGTGATATGTGCGAAGAGTATGCTGGAGATGTCCCCAAAGAAATATATGTCTTCGCAAAAGACATCCAATTGGAATACCTTCAGAAGTGTGATGTGTCAGGAATTCGCCATCAGATTCAACTCCGCAGTGCTCCACAACCAGTTGCGTCAACATAGGCGAGCTGCCAATGAAGCATGACAACAATATGCTCAATGATGGAGGTTGCACACTAGGGGAAAGTCGAAAAACCTTTGATTGATTATATCATAGATTGTATTCTGGACAGCGAGATTAACAAGGTATTGCTTCATGGCGTGGAAACAATCCAAGAGTGAAATATGACAGGATGAAAGACAAGACACGCCTGTTGACAACAGTGTCCAGTAAAGAAGAAAAGTGGAAACTCCAGCAACAAGGAAACGAAGACTAAGGAAAGAGAGAGCGCCAGCCATAGACGGTGTTTTAACTGAGGATCTAAAGATCACAACAGTTATAGGTGCCCTTACGAGGAGACAAAATGCTTTAAATGTAACAGATTCGGGCATACTTCTCGCAGATGGTCGGAGAACGGGGATGTTAGTTGCGTGCGAGGAGAAATATATTTGTTCTCTTCCAATCACAAAAAGTGGAGTGGAGTGTCGTACACTGATGGATACCGGAAGAGATGGCAACCTGATGCAGTGGGACGTATACAATAAATTGGGAGGTCCAACTCTGAAGACACGTTCATTTACGGGATTACGGCCACGGGGATGGCAGAATAGAAAGTCGACATTGATGGCGAAACATACATAGTACTCCAGTTCACGTCGTACCGGCGAAATACATGAATGCGGTATTCATCTTAGGTCAGGAATGGATGAAGGATGCGGAGGTGACAATCAAGCAGGGGAAGATTTCTACCAAACGCATTGCAATCAAGGCAGAGGCATCGAATGCAACGCCCCAGCATAGCGACGTAGAAGAGCTTGTATTTTGGAGTGCGTGGCAATGTCCGAAATTGACGCTCCTGAACCTTATAAAAGTCAGATCGAACTGCTGGTAGCTAACTACAAATCAGAGAATGAAGTGAAGGCTAGTGTCATGCAGAAGATTAACTCAAAGGATAAAAGAGCTATCACTTTACCACCACGAAGATTGACCCCGAAAGAAATATGCACCGTCAATGATCAAGTGGAACAATGGCTACGGAACGGTGTAGTAAGACCAAGCGCAAATGAGTATACCAGCCCAGCATTGATCAAGAGGAACGACTCAAGGTGATCAAAGAATAGTACAGATTATTTGGTAGAGGACACTTCACATGGAGCCGCGAAGGTGTTTGAAGAAGAACGAAGCCCTGAGAGCCGTCGCAATGAAGAATATTCTTAAAATTCAGCATGAAAATAAGACAATGCATGACAAGAAAGTTACGACAGGGGCTTACAGAGGGTGATTTAGTGGCTATTAAGAGAGCGCAAGTGGGGTTAGACTTAAAATCAAAAAAAAACAAAAAAAAAAACCCTCAGACCACACAAGATCAGTGAAGTCAAAGGTCGTGATCGGTACGAACCGACCGTGAAGAGGAAGTCCCACGAATCACCCCGATCACATGAAGCCCATCGAAGTCCCTTCGGGAACAGATTTCCAAGAATGGCAGAGTGTGGAATGAGCGACTTACGAGTTGACGCGGCACACAGGGCGTAATTTTGGCCAACTAGCCGAAAACAAAAATCAAATTTTCGACTGAACTGTAATAGCAAAATTGTTATAATACTATGTAGTAGTATGTCTCTACTATGTGAGAACGTCCTTAGTTTTCTCTTGAAGGCCACATGGACCCCATGGCGCATGTTCAAACACGACTATCGCTGCTCCCGCAGTGCTCAGCTCTGAATAACCCTTTTCCGTCCGTGAAGTTATATTGGTCGGGTTACACCATTTGTCTCATTCTGTTATTAGTGAGTTTACCAGTAATAATTTATATGGTTTTACGATTATTTTTTTGTGGATCATATTTACGTATTGCTTTTTATTGTGCCTTAAAACGTTCATGGAAAAGTTGCAAGAAAACCCAGCTTTTCCAACAAGATTTTACCCACCAAATAAATTCATTTTAGCAAAAGAAACTGTACATTTAATAACTTGAGAATTTGGGAAATTAGAGTAGAAAGTGAGAGCCCTTGAACCAGGAAGGATTCCTTGAAGGAATGTGACAGTATGTGATTGAGGTGCATAATGTGAGGTGATAGTCATACTAGTGTCAGTATTTGGTGTATACCTTTAAGTTGTAAATAACAATGTTGTAATTTAAGTAGTAAATTACATGCTTCTCTTAATAAACCCAATCCGACAGATGAAATTTAGACAGGGGCGGCCGGGGATAATAAATGGAGCGGGGCAGGAAGAGCGAGCATGACGAGGATGGCAGTAATAAAGGTATTTTTTTAATGATTGAGATATAACTATGGAGCTATTTTAAATGATCTTAGATTTTAAAGATTACACGACACCAAAAACCCTTCTATACATTCGTTTGAGTCTTTACTGATCATTTGAAAATTCAAGTTGAAGTCTCAAAACTTCACTTATGTTTATGAAAATAAAATTTTATTTTATCATTTGAGTAATTTTTTTGGCTTACTCCATTCCATTTTTACAGCTATACACATACTAAACAAAAATGAGTTGATGAATAAATAACTAAAATTTATAACCACAAACACATGGATACCAACTAGTGAAAAACTTATCCAATATCTTTATTACATTTTACCATTAACGACGAACAATACTGCAACAGATTGTTTAATACAAAATACAGTTTGATTTCATAACAAGCCAAACATTGTTCAGGAACGACCACTTGTCACCAAGACACTAAGATTTGGGCCTTTTAAACGTTTCCCCAGATGTGCCTGAAATAGAAATAACAATAATAATTACAGCATATAATATAATAGTTACTGGAAGAATAGGAAAAAGGGAGAATAATTTGAAAAATGTACGACCAAGGTATGAAAATGGCAATTGGAAATAGCAAAGTAAAAATGAAGTAGGCCTTTTATGAAAAAATTAAACATGTTTGACAGCACGAGGAAGAGATAGATTTCATTTTAGAACCAGTTAAAAGGTATTAGGTATTTTAGAACCAGTTAAAAGAACCGTAAAATTATAGTATACGGCACAACTCTGCTTAAAATATCCCAGAATATATTTTGTATACACCTTTAAATAAATGTTTTATACACGCTAACATAAACGCAGAGAAGACGGAATTTATCCTATTGTTCTAACACAAAACGGATGATAAATCACTTGAAATAAAATATTACCTCGATTACGAACCTCGATTTCCGAAAATCAATCGTCCGTTGAACGCGCATTGATATAACCTGTTGTGCGGAGACATTATGACCCACAGCAAAAGGTATAACATATGTCACATTTAAAAATAATGCAGGTTTTCTGGCTTCCAAAGCACGAGTCTCGCTAGGCGACGAGGGTTGGCAGCTACACTCGTGTGCCGTTCCGCGTTAGATAAGTGTTAAACAACGACGCGCGTTATTTGACGTGCATTCACGCGACGCTCGTGTGTCATCAGTCATTCGATATTCGCGGAGTAGCGAATTACTGCTCGCCCAATCCCGAGCAGCTGTGCTCGGCGAATGTTCGCTTTCTCTGATGTGTGCGAAAGACAGACTCGCGGTGGGTAGCGTCAGCACCGAATGTTTCGACGCTCGGTAAACAGCACGCAACCCGTCCACACTACGCGGGATTGGGCGAGCGGTCGCTCGCTGCACGCCGAGTACCGAATGTGTACCCCCGCCTTTAGATTTTCGCGACGCCGGAGAAAAATTTGACGGGGTAATATGTAGGCAACCCGCGGGACGATACTGTATTACACTTTTAGGTTGCCTATACGCCCCTGATTCCCCTTGGTCTAGAATTTTTACTTTCTTCTTTGCAATGAAGAATTGTTCACAATTTTTCTTTAAAAAAATATCGTTATTTATTATTGATAGGCACTGTTGTAATTCATTGTATGTTAATCTAAAATCAATACTCAGAGAACTTCAGAGGAGCCTGTAAGGGAAAACGGTTTCTCTTTTGATTCCCAATTACGACACCTACGTAGTGCAGCCGCTGTGCAGGAGAGGAATAAGGGAGAGGAGTCTACCTTGCAAAAGCTGAGAGAAACGTAATATTTTAGAGCCTCCCCCCAAATTGGGCAGCTTTTTTTTCTCCTCCCCCCGTAACAGTTGAACTTAGTACAAAATGTGAATGTCCAAATTTAAAGGACATAATATCCTCTATAAATCTGCGCCACAAATTATTTTTCTTGGTAAAACAGTAAGAGACGCGATTGATCAGTGTTTCCGGGCGTGACAAAGGAAGTTATGAATCCCCTAAGCGTATTTTAGGCAGGTTTTTTTAATTGCAACTTTCTTTTATCTATCCCAAGTGCTTCTCTCACCCTCCCATCTCCTATCACAACACTAGGCAATAATATTCCTAAAATGACAGGAAGTAATAGGTGGTAATTGCATAAATGACGCAACTGGTCGGGGATAAAATTGCGTTTTCTGAAAAAGGTTTAGGTGATGGCGAAAATTGGTTTTTCCTATTGTCATCGGGGCACTGGACTACATAACAATCACATATTTTTGTTCTGCGGCAAATTTTATTGTCGCACTGTGTTATTGCAGTTTATTAAGTTTTTGGTGCTCAAAAGGACAAAGTCATTGGTTAGCCTGATGTGTACGTGTTTTTGAAGAACTGGCTGGTTTACTTTTGGGAAACCTATGAAGCATTCTCATGATGAAAATCACTTCATTCGATTAAATCTGTTGCCAACAAAACATATATTAGTCATTTTGCCACTATCATTGCCACAACCAACATCATCTACATGACATCCAAGTACTGCCTTGGTACCGCAATTGAGATACACAACACTACACATAAAGGCAAAGGGATGAGCTTCGTGAATATTGTGGCAAACCAAGCAATATTTATTGTAATAACATAAATGGGCTGCCTAAAACATTTTGGATTCACAATAGGAAAGAATGGCACCTTTTAATAGATTCCTTAATTAAGTCTGAAAGCCATTCTCTTACATAACAGAAATAAGAATCCTTCAATAGCAGTGGCCCTTTCCACTCTCTCCCATTAAAGGGAAACTATGACGACATGAGGCTACCCCTGAAGTAAACTAGCTATCAGAATAACAAATGGAAAATCTATGGTCATCTCAGAATTCTGGGACTACTTCTAGGAATGCAGACTGCTTACCCAAAATATTACTGTTACTTTTCTTGTGCCACTGATATAGTAGGGGAAGAAAAGAACATTATGTAGTCATAGACTGGTTTTGAGAGAAATTTTCAATCCTGGTGAAAAAATGTGACAAATGAATCCCTAATTGACGAAGGCAGATGTTATCATGACTCCAACTAAAATAGGGCTTTATGAAATATTTTTGAAACTAATGGACAAAGATGGCCAGGGTTTTCAATTTTACTATCTAAATGTCCTGCAATTAGTACTGAAAAAATTAATGAACCAATTTTCATTATGCCTCTGATCCGTGACTTGATGGAAGTTATTACCTTTGAACAGTTGCTGACATATAATGAAAAGACAGCTTGGCTTGCATTGAAAGATGTATGTGACAATGTCTTCGAAAACAATGTCTCAGAATTACAGGCAACTGATCGAACACATGCTGGACTGTCACAAAGTTACAGGCTACATGAGGTGCAACATGTCTCTGAAATTATAATTCCTTGATTTCTTCCCACCTAATCTTATCTTAGATTTCTTCCCACCTAATCTTGGAGGTGTGAGTGACGAACATAGTAAGCGATTTCATCAAGATAATGCGACCATGAAAAGACGATATAAGGGAAGATGGTCATCAAACCTTTTGGTGGATTTCTGTTGGACACGCATAAAAGAAGTATCACCACCCACTCACAAATGGAATGTTTCCACGAAAAGTTTAACTTTTAAGTGCATTTCAAGCTTTGTTCAACTTTCTCGTACTGTTTTCATTCTAGGTTTTGTAATACCAACAATTAATTATACAAATAATTTCATACAAACAATTTCTGTAATACAAATAATTTACATGATCTGTAGATTAATATACTACAGATTCCTGTGTATTATTACTGGGACATTTATAAGTTTCTTGAAAGTGGTATATGTGGTGTACCTTTTCCAGATAAATTAGTACGTGATGGAACATTTCTGATTTCATTTTCGCAATAAGCATATGCAAATTAGTAGAGAACACGTACTTTTATCTCACGGCAAGACACAAAGTTCAAATTTGCTGCACTGTGTAATTTCTGCTATGTTCATATTCCTAAAACAATTCTTTTACTGAGGTGATCTTGGTAATCATTTCTTTCTTATACTTATGCCATTGCTCAAAGGAACTCTTGACGATCACAACACACACAAGGCACTAAAGACATAATTTTAAATAATTCACAAAAATTCCAACAACTACAATTCATATATATAAAAAAAAAGGTCCTCCTTTTTGTTCGGCAATCCTGAGAGTAATTGCCAATGTGTTTCTTGCAAATCTAGATAGGAAATATAACTTTACCTTACTAAATGTTAAGAAATCAAATATTAATTGTTGCAATTTATTTGTTGAATAAATTCTTTGAACTTCAAATAACTGATGTTTTTTTAAATTTTTATCATGTAGTATTGCAAAACTGCTCAACTTCCATCATGGGGCTAGCTCAAGCTGCTCAGGCTGGCTAAGCTCATGCACATCAATGAGAGTTGGTGGTGTTAGGAAAGGGATGAAAATCTGCCTGGTGGCGAGGGGTTTGAGGAGGAAATGGTTGCATTCAATGCTGCAGAATACACAAATGTGCAACAGAACACAAGAAATTAACTTGAAAGCAGTATCATAGGTGACCCTCTGACCCTCTTTTCAATATCGAAAAACCATTACAATATGACATTTGAACATTTTTTGTTAATAAATTGATATTAAAACTGACATGATGAAATATCAATGTGTTGATTGAACTCAATTTGCAGATTCTTATTTCCAAGTTCCCAGATGAGAACTTGGTCATTAGATGGCATGTCATGACAGATGGAGGCATGGGCCAAACAGTTCTAAAGGTCACTCAACTGACGTCTCTTTTTCCTCCCCACACAAGCATCCCATCTACCACCCACTGCCTACCCTCTTTGCCCAGGGCTCAGGTAAGAGCCACTGCAAGTGTCCTCGCTCATTTAGGGCCAGATAAGCGAGCCTGTACTATAGTATGTTCTTTCTTTTTGAAATTAGCGTTTTGAGATTGACACCACACTTACCGTAATTATTTCTGCAAATGCTTCTCTGTTTAGCAAAGCATATGCGGTGCAAAGAAGGTGTTTAATCATTCCATGAAAAACATCTCCTCCAAAGGAAAAAAGATCCAAACCAAGTTCAAGGCTAGTGCCAAAATCACATTCGTCATTTGCAATGTTAGCAGCTGTAATGATAGGTTGCAATTTATCCATCAATGCCTTTCTCTGATCATCACTATCACTGTTGGCATAATTTTTAAGTATCTTCTTGAGATTAACTGAGGAGAAAAAAAATTGGTTAGCCGACTTGAAACAAGTTTTAACATCAACAGAAAACATGCATGAATTGCATACCTTCACTTTCTATCAGAGGACGATAGCCAGTGTCATTTGTCTTATTTACAGGAACAACAATACCTCCTTTGTGGAATGTTTTTGCAACCACTTTCCTCGCTCGAGCTTTCATTGCTGCTGTGTTTACATCAAGATCAAAGTTGTTTTCTTTTGCCCATGAATGAAGTGATTTTTGCAATGAGCTAATTTTCATTTTGTGAAATGGATCTGATTTATTTTTCCTTGTTTCAAGATATGAGCTGTGATAAAAGATTTCATCGTCACTAATTTAAAGAGTCTTAACATTACAAAAAATTCACAAAAATAATACATAACACCATTAAATAATCAAGTTTTGGGTATGATTAATGGAATTATCAAAATGACAGAGCAGTTCATAAAACATTAGTAATTTATTTAAAGATAGGCAATTGAAACTAATTTCAAATAAATAATTATTTACCACTGCAGTATCAGACCAATATTTTAAATTTAATTTGAACTGCCATAAATAAAGGTAACTACACAAACACACACATGTGCACACAAATACATGTTCATGGGTGAAACTAGGAGAGAGCAGGCCAAGTCTTTTATTAAATTGTAATTACCTTGGAACTTTAAACATGTCTACACTGTGTTAATCTGCAATTAACAAAATCTTATGCAATAGTTGCATAGTGTTAGGCCTGTATTAAACATAACATTTCTGAAATTACGGCAAGTCATTCCAATTCGTATGTGGACAATAAAGCACAATGTACTAAGAACAACACCTGTTCAAAAGGAACTGAAATGTTAATTCATTCCTTTAACTATCAACATTAATCACTTTTCAGCTGAAATCAATCATGAGCAGAGACCGGATTTTTATGTAATTATATATAATTTGTTGTTCTACTAACCGTTCTCAAAATTATCATCTTGGCAAATTGCCCATTGTCCTAAAATGATACTGAATTTTTTTTGTTATATATTTAGTACCATATTACGTATTTTGCTATTTTCACAAAATGTTTTTTATTCTTTCAATCTTCTTCAATTTCATTACATTTTTATGAAAAGAAGTATGAACATTTTTCCTTCACTATTACTGCATTCTATCTATGTGAAGACACAATCGGATGCTCTCACAGTCTGGCGTGCCTGCTGCACTTATGTCAGTAGTAGGAGGCGTGCATCTGCGACTTGAGTTCATTTTTACCTTTAGGTGTGAAAAGTATCAATGATGATGCATTTCATGACCTTTAACCCTAATTTCTGAGAAACTTTGGCAATCACCAACATATATGGCCAGCTTGTGCGATGGCTTCTGTTGCAGTGTCTGGGTGCTAAACTAAGGCCCTGAATAACAAAAGATGAAGTTTTTACTTTTAAAGTTGTATAGTGCAAAGTGTGCATCAACTTGTGCCCTGTAAATGATTTTTATAATGTTTGTATTATTTTTAAAATTTGTGTAGGAAACATTTTATAAATATAATTTCATATTATGTAAATATATTTTAAAATTAGTGTATTTTGAAATTACTTATTGTATCCGATTTTACATATTTATTACATATTCTTAATGTTTTCATTACATATGTATGTATATATTTTGACCATTCAGACTACGTATTTTTTTCTGGTCTCTGATCAGGAGGAGCATGAAGTTGAAATAACTTTCACATTCCTTGCATTATCCAGAGATATCAAAGCACAAATAATTCACAATATTGTGTCACCAAGTGCACAAATCACCTCCTTATATTCAATTACTCTTAACAATAATGTAGGTGAAATCACATGCAGGAATTGCAAATTAATAAATCATCCTCCCACAAATCAATACTCCTTATTCTCCAACATTGCATAACTGAGATAAACACAAAAATAAATTGCGTTTTTAGAAACCAAACAGAAACATACATCACAGTATGCTTAATGAAGAATTGAATTTCAAATTCCCTATTAATCAGTATTACTAAACATTACATGTTGAAATTGAAACTGTAGTCAACTCCAATATATAAAAATTTCAATGTTGGTAAGATAAAATTGAAATAACACATTCTGATCAAATAACTGGTAGAAATAGTTACTATTAGATATCATTTGCAAATAATCTAATCACAATTACTCTAATTTCTGAGAGCTACTGTTAAATGTATTCATAGACATGGGACCATTGTTATTTTTATATTGTGAATTATCTATATCCTGTAATGAAGTATACAAATAGATTTTGTAACCCAAAAAATAAAGTAAACTAAAGCTTACTTCACAGCACCGAATAAGTTCTCGGCCACTGGTGTGATAGTGCAATCCACAGCTGCAGAATTACTAGCAACAAAGCATGGATCAGAGGATGGGTCGTCTCGATAGTAGCCCAAATGGAATTCAGTTTTATCATCTCCTTTAATTACTGTCTGCAAAAAGAAATTGAAGTTATGTCAGATCTACTTTCCAGTAATAAATTGGTAAAAACAACTTTCACATTATTTTAGAAACTTATTTACTACTATTATGGTTACTTCGCTGCTGTTATCCAGTTTCATACAATATGAAAATCTTTTTATAAGCAATGTATATACTATTTGCAATCTGAATTAATCCATTGGAATTTTTCAATTTATACTTCAATAAAATTAGCTCATAAATTAATGCTCTATTTCTTCTTTATTGGATTAGAGCAATCAAATACACATTAGGTATTTATTACTTTACATGTTAACTTTAAATGAAAATGACTTCTGCTTTTTAAGTCAGTGCATTGTGCTGTATTCTAGTACAAGATTTAAAGAATAAAAATATTTGGCTGGGCTGGCATTTGAACTTTGAATGTGAAAGCAATAATCTCAGCCCTGTACTGTGCCACTCATTTGTGTTTCAGAAGCTAAAATGATATAATCTGTGATAATTCCAACACTCAAGCGTGACATATGACATCTAAGATTTCAAAATTACCATGATACAACTCAAAATTATACAAAAACTATTACTCCAAAAAGTCTCGACATGAAATGATTTAAACTTCTAATATTGAGAAATAGATTACAATTAGAAAGAAAATTTTATCTTTAATAAAATAGTGACGAAGGGGTGACGAAAATAAATTTGAACATTCACAATTTCAAAAATACATATACATGCGTATTACTAAAAGAACTTTGCTGCATACATTTAAAAGAAAAATCAGCAAAAGAACTACAAGAAATGATGATAGAATGGAGTGACCAGAGCATAGTGGCAGGATTGACTATAAGTACAGGAAAGACGAGTAGCATACTTCACAGATTATATCTACTTAAAACAGATGGTTTGCTTTCATAGCTGACCGGAGGAAGAAATTAATAGAAGAGAAACGATTGGACAAAATTCAAACTAGTGGAGCTAACACAGTACAATCTTTCTCGCTATTAGCAATAGTAATGCAATACCTTTTATATCACAATTTCTCTCTGAATTATTTTTGTAAAACTCATTTGAAAATGTAGAACATTTAGTACGTAATATAAGCAATATGTGAGAAAGTAAAATATGTAAATAAAGTAAAAAATATAATATTGTAATATTCTATAAATATATAAAAGTATTGGCCGATCTGGAGGCCGAGATCGTAAGAGCAGTAAGTGCCGTAGCAATCTCGTACCGAAAGATCGCGGTTCGAGTCCCGCCTCGGCATGGTTGTATTGTGTTCGTCCTTTCACCCCTATCATCCATCATCCTCCATCTTCCATTATCATCTTTTCTGAATAACATTCGGAATAGTAACTCGAGGATTTATCATCACCTCAAGGTAATGACCTTCGACAGTCGACCATGAACAGTAAAAAAGTGAAGTGGAACGACTCAAGTGGTGCAATACGGCAATCAAGTTAATAATAATAATAATAATAAAAGTATTGGTTTTTATTACCATGAATGAAAAGCTGTCATCATTATCACCTTCTATTAATTCAGTGTGGTGTTACAACAATGGATAACAACCAACAATGACAGCTAATCTATGCGTTTTCACATTTAACACAATTAAATAAGCTATTTAAAATAAATAACATAAATGTAAAAAAATAATATAAATGTAATAAATCATAATAATAATAATGATAATAAAATGAAATATTATTCAAATTCTAACTTATGTAGCATTCAACTGCGCAAATTGGCAGCAGGTGACTGAAGGTTAGCAATCTTTATTTCAAATAGGTTTTAAATAATTTCTAAAAGATTAATTTGTACACATATAACGAAAGCTCCAATGTAAGAAACAATTATGAAATAATATACTAACTTACAGAGCATTCAACAATTCTAACTTACAGAGCATTCAACTGCCTCAAAACTCCTCCAAAATTAAGATCGAGAGGTGCAGGAATTTGAGAGTGGGATGCTGCCTTTGGTGCCCAATTAAAAATTTGAATTTTTTTCAATTGTTGAAAAATCAGGGTTTTCAACCAATATGAGACCTACACCATTTTCTTAAACATCCTTCAGACTAATCACCAAAAAAATTTCATCAAAAACGATGAAGCCATTTTTAAGAAAAAAATTGTTTAAATAAAAATTTAAAATTGCCTATATTTCTTGCAAAATTACAATGAAAATACTCAAATTTCCGAAAAATTGTACATGGCCTTATTTCAAAATCTATCTTTAAGGAACAGATTTTATTACGGGAAAAAACCTCTGTCTTTAATATTGTTGTGGAGAGGCTGAAATTTTTTAAAAAAAGTCAGCAGAGTTCAAAAAATCAGGATTTTCATCCAACATAAAATCTGCTTCATTCCCATTCTCTTAAACGTCCTTCAGACTACACAACAACAAAATTTATTCAAAATCAATAGCCCCATTTTTTTTTTTTTGATCTAAACGTTTCATAAAAGGAACTTCCAAAATTAAAATATTGGTTTCAAATTCAAGGGGTTGTGACAGATCTTAGAATATCAATTTTGGAGAAACTTGGATGAACAGTTTAGCCGTTAATGTTGTTCACAAACAGGTAGACAGATGTTTTGCTGTCAATTGAGTTTTTGGTATCAAGGACCCACAAAACAGGGATTCTGACTACACCACATGTTATATTTTTGTTGCTCTAAATTGAGCACTTTTGCATTACCAAATTCATCATTTTTCTCACAGCATCAGATAGCTTTCCCATCTTAAGCACAACAAAGTAAAAACAGTGACAAAAAAGAAGTAGATAGATTTGTATTGCTGGTGTTGACATATAGAGCACAAACATGGGCAGTTACGAGCAAACTTATTGCTGTCGCACAGAAAAAAATGGAAAGGAAAATATCTCCACACATTACTAAATAACAAATGAAGCAATAAGAAAAACAACATATGTACAGTCAATGTATAAGAATCTGAAGTCGAAATAGGGAGGACACATTGCAAGAATGCATCCAGAAAGATGGGCATATACCACAACAATATGGGACCCCAGAGAAGGAAAATGTGGAAGACAGAAGAGATATGGTGCATTGAACTACAAAAAATGGCAGGGAAGAAATGGATACGAGTGGCTCAAGACCAACTAAGAAAGAAAAGTGTATGGGGTGGAAAGAGAAATGTCTATGTATGAAATAAACCTTATCAAAGTAAAATTATGAAGTAAGCTAGGTAAAACTAAAACAAAAGTGAAAAGTTCTGAAGTTGAAATAGTAGATAAGAAAGAAAAGTGAAAATAAAGGTAAAGCAAGAGCATAAAGGAAATGAAGTGAGAATAGTGGTTAAATAAACTAAAAAAGAACTAAGAATAAAACAATGGCAAAACTTGTAAAGCAAACTAAATAAGATTAGTAATTCAATAAGTGATTAAAAACATAACAACAGTAACCAGCATCAGAAATAGCTCATCTGATGTGTAATGTGAGCTAGTCCTGTTTTGAAACAGAAGGCCTTTACCTGATAGGAATTTGAGTTTGCTGATATGTTTATTATTATAATAATAATAATTATTATCATTATTATTACAAAAAAAAAGCAGTTTTTGAAAAAAAGTTGTTTTTTTTTGTTTTTTAAAACTTTTTTGGTCACAAAGTCACTTAAAATTACACCAATACCATTATTCATATTAATATCAGAAATATTACATACATATTATTTAATGACCTAATTTTGAAGGACTGATTTTGTTGTGTGCATGAGGGGGAGGATCAAAATTTCTTATGTATTAGTGACAATTGGACCTGTGTTCACTTACAAGTGGATCATTACCTCTATTCAAGAACAAATGAATGCCTCCATTCAAGAATATATACTAAAGACGGCTGCAATAAGGAGGACACGCCTTATGCTGAATTAAATGTATATATAAAACTAAGTGCCATAACTACTTTTCTAAAGATGTTGTCATAACTCCACACCATTTCTAAGACAACCAATGGTTTCTTTGTTTCTACATTTTAGTACCAACACACTCCCTATTGACAAATTTCATATATACACGTTTTCATATAAACAGAGCAATGATGACAATTACATAAATTAAACTATACTACTTAGAAGGTATATCATTATACTAAATAATAGCATACCTGAAATTCAGGGGGATCAAAATAATAACGCCAATGCCTTAAAAATTCCACCTTTTTGCATTTTTTGAACGATTCACGATTTAAAATCAAATCAAATGGGCCAACAAGAAAAAGACCAACATCTTTCAGGGCACCTGCAAAAAAAATTACATTTTGTGAGTTTTAACAACTTTCTTCTTTTTTGAAGTAAACATTTATTATTCTTGTTTGAAGTAAACAGTCCTAGCTTGATCAGATTTCTCTTTCAGTTTCCATGTACAAATACTGAAATGGGCCCTTGTTTTGCTTCTGAACATAAATGTAGCTTCACTATGCACATGTTTCGTTGAGCTCTTATTTTGCTAGTGCTGATAGACTAGGGGTATGGGTTGCCATTTTTTACTAATACTAAAAAAAACATATGTAGATCCTTTACTGATGAACATACGTTTCCTATAACTTGGGAGCAAAAACATCCAGTGTTTCAACATTTTCCAACCAAGCTTTGTTAATACTTTTATTCATTATTGAACTGTGTATAGTAAAAGGATGGGGAATTGATTCTAGAGCTCAAGAAAATATCTGCAGATAGTACTTCTCCCTCATAGAGTTTTACTGTTCTTTGTCAAAAATAAATCAAATCAAATGCGGAATTTAATTATTAAATAAATTAAAGTAACCACAAAGCAAAAAAGAGGGGAAATAACCAAATAATAAACTTCCCCAAAATATAATCATTTTTTCTTTGCGACATGTTTGTTCCAAATACATTTAAAAAAATCTTCAAAATAAATGAAGGTTTCTTATCTGAAAATTATACCACAATATACAAATTTAATTCTCTAAAAGCAACTTTAATCAATACCTGCTGGATTATCTTTTTTCAAGCTCAGACAAAACGACCAAAAACTATAAAAATCATTAGGCATTTCAACTAGGAAGGCCTCTTTAATTGCTTCTTTCACATCATCCGGTAAAGAGAATTCTTCCTCCTCAGCTGCAGAACTGCCTCCAGGATGAGAACTTCCATCGTTAGGTGACTGCTTGGGAATATCATCTTTTGTTCTCTTGGCACATCTTTCATCTTTGCCTTCATCCTATAACAGAAGGGAAATGACAGTAATCTTGCCATTTAAATTACATACATGTGTCATGTACATAGTATACCTCACTCACATCAAGTGTATGTTTATTAGGTGACTGTTTGGAAATATCCTCTTTCGTTATCTTCGTATATTTTTCTTCTTTGCTTGCATTCTACAACAGTAGAAAAATTACAATAATTTGCCATTTAAACTACATACCACATGTGCCATGTACGTAGCATTCATCACTCACATTGAGTTTATATTTATTAGAAGGATGTTTGTATTTCTCATGATGTACAGGATTCTTCTGGTAACATTTTACACCATATTTACACGGTATTCGAGAATCATTTTTGTATAACCTCAAACACTCTTCTTTTTCATCGCCACTGTTCCCCGCCATTTTCAAATAATAGCGCACGTAATCAGTTTCACCCGATCCAATACAGCGGCACTCCAATATTACCAATACTTGGATTGGTGGTTGGGAATTACTGAACAATAACAACTGTGATCATTGGTTCCACAGAGAATGCGGAAATTAGATCATTACCAACTTCGTTTAGATTGTACTTTATCTATTATTGACTGGCAAATATTGCAAAAATTATTGTTTTTGAGGATTCAATTATATTTTATATTTCTATTTTCAAGATAATAAGAATTAATTTCAACAAATTCCACTTTAACGATAACAGCAATTAAAGAAAAGAAATATATTCCAAACTTTTAAAGCCTTACATATTTCACTTAAAAACGTGATTTAACTTACGCATTTGTTTGACTATTCAATACCTAAGACATAATTTCCCGGGGGCAAAAGTAATGCGTTTCACGATGGAAATTTGTTACGGTTGGTAGTACACATCACGTCCTGTTCGTGTCCGCTGCGGTCTCCTGTCAATAATGAACTAACGTCAAAAAATTGGAACCGGTAGAATCTGGCATTTTATTATATTTGTGTATTCTTAGAAGTAATTTGACGTTAGCACAACGAAATGGAGGACGATCTGCCAACCGAGTATGATGTAATAGTGGTAGGGACAGGTAAGTAAATGTGGAACTTTCTTTCGCTGGTTTGACATTTCGCGAAACCATTGAAGTATGAAATTTAACTCGCGCAGTTTTTCCGCCCCTGTTGCGTTACTCCCAACATGGGAATATATGTAGAGTTTTTGAAGTTAAATGAAAATGAAAAGCAATCTGAGCTATTTGTTTTACCATATGTTGTCCACATAAAAATTCATAAAATGTGTAAGATGATACTACGTGGCTTTGTCACGTTTCTTAAGTTCGATTTCATTCCCTATAGCATTTCTGTTTACGTTCGTTAATGGGTTGATCTAAGATAGCTTTTAAGTCTCGGGAAAAAATAAATAGAATTTAATGATCAATTTATGTTTCAAGGCATATTCTGAAATGAGAAAGGTGCACAAGTTAAACTATCTTCATTGAGGCATTCTGATATTATTCATTACTCATCCTGATATTATGTGTAAATTCACATTCCTTTTATTTTCATGTGAATTAGGTATGACAGAATCTATTGTTGCTGCTGCTGCAAGTCGAATAGGCAAGAAAGTGTTGCATTTAGACAGGTTAGTAGAAAATTAGAACTGTTTAAAATGGCATGCAATTCTGTGCAGTGCTTTACTTTTACAGCTAAGATTTGTACATCCAATTATTTTTTATTATTTATGTGTATGTTATTTTTATGTTCATAGCAATGAGTATTATGGTGGGTTGTGGGCCTCCTTCAATTTTGATGGGCTTCAAAAATGGATGGAGGAGTGCCGGCAACCCAACAAACCTTCTGAAACAGTGGATACTTCAAAAGCAAAGGAAGGAGAGAAATTGGTGAAAGCTGGTAATCAATTTTCTACAGTCAGCAATCTTGAAGAAAAGTGGTATATTTTGGAGTAAGTTTTGTCAGCTTATTTCAGTTATTTGGATATTCACTTCTTAGTGTGTGAGATGCATTGCAATTTTATGAATCCATTTTTTAATACTTAATAGTTTTGCTACATTTTAAAACATTATTTTCACATGTACAAGAATTTTTGTCAATAAGAAAGCAAGGAAAAGGATTACAGACTGGCCTATTTCTGCAGGGAAGTGGCTGATTCTCCAGAGGGTCAGTTGTCCTCTAAAATTACACAAACTGAAGGAGAGGAACACCCTGCTTCAAAGGCAGCGGAAGGGCCGGGTGAGGGCGCGGCCAGTTCTCTGGGCGGAGAATCTGAAAAATTAGAGAAAGAAGGCAATTGTGAGAAACCTGACTCAGACGAAGCCAAAGATAATTCTGTTCTCAATCAAAGGGAAAACTGGAGTCAAAATAAATTGAAAAAAGAGTACCGTAAATTCAACCTTGATCTTGCTCCAAAGGTAATTATGTTTTTTGTATTAATATGTGTAAAATAGTGTGTTTCATATCTCATATAAAATAGTGTCTTGCCAAAAAAATTCATAAATATATCCACTTATGCTCGAGATAATTGACACAATTGTTAATGGAGGAAGGCTATTCCAATAAAAAATTGTTATAGAACTGATAATAATGGAATTTGCTCATTGTTCAAGTGATAGAAACAGTATTGGGGTTATTTTACTGGTAAAATTAATCATCTTTAAAAAGAATGTAAAGTTTCATATCTCTCATGTTATGGTGGGACATGATAGCATTGGTCACAGAGGCCAGTTGAGAAAAACATGAATTTATTAATAATTAGTAACTTACAATAGAAATTATTTTCTATTTAAGATATTCAAAAAAGATTTATCTCTTTTTAATACTAAACTAATTTTAAAAATAATTGGAAGTTGAAGTATAAAGAAAAAAGGCAAAATCTTAATCGTATCTAAAACATTATTCAAAAATTTTTTGTATTTTCTACAGAGCAATGTTAAACACATTGTCAATGTTTGTGATAATTGCCCCCAATTAGTTCTTGATATTTTGTCCTTTAAATATGTGGACCAGTAATAGAATTTTATGTTTATCAATATGTTCAGGTTTTGTGTGTTTTGTTTAATGTTTGTTCTCGGAAAGCTAATAGACAGTATACGTGCACCAGTTGCTAGCCAGAATTTTCCCCAAACAATTACACTCAACTTGTAATTGATTTGCTTTTTAATTTATCGAGTAATATCCTGGGGAAATGTTATTATAATTAACAAAAATAGAAAAACATTATTACATATGGGGAAGTATAATCTGCACACATTCTTCAGAATCCCTTTCCTTCTCTTTTACTCTACATGTACAGAATATGTAGCTTGGTAATATTTAGAAAGAAATATTCACTCCCATATTTATTTGTAAAGTATATAAACTTCAAATTTGATTTTAAATGCTGACGAAATAACTGTATGTACTGTATTCACATACAACAAAATGTTATATCAAGAACACCTCCACAGACAGTGAAGATACACAGTCCAGAAGCAAATCGAGAAACAATCTCAAGGTCAGGATACCTGATTGAGATTAGATCATTTTCTCAGTAGCTGAAGTGCAATTCTTGTTAAAGGACAGTCTTTTAGAATAATACAAAACAAAAGAAAACATATGTATTAATATCATTAAAATAAATATTATTTTCATTTTTGATATTCAGTGTCATCTCTAATTGAATGAAAAGGAGTAGAGCAGAAACAATTTTTCTTGGCATGTGAATGTGAGAATATATTTTAATTGTTTTAACGTCTTTTGGCTTTGTGTTTTAAAATAATATTCATGCATTATTTGTGAAGATTTTGCAGTGAGCTTTTGGCAACAATTTCCAAACAATATGATTCTTACGTTATATTTTGTTTTTATGTATGTCGCATGAAAGTGTGTTCTCACCCTTAACTTCAAGAACTACTTCTGCTCCACGATGCTACATACAAAGATTGAGTGGACTAAGCAGCACTGATCTGAGTGCAATAGAAAAAAATGTTGGCCTGCCTCCCAAACTGTATGTTGTTCATTGAGGGTAAAAAGAGTATTGAACGTCTGTAAATCATTGCTGCGTACATGTTCTCATCATGAAAACTCAATCTCAAAATATTGTATATTAATGTTTCACATTAGAGTATTCATTTAATGCGTGCATGGAGTTCAGAATTACCTGCACAAATTGTTTAAAACAGGTCAGTAGTTCATAATTCAACTATAGAGAAGTAGAGTAATAGAGAAGAGGAGAAGGATCATGGAGCTCAAGGAAACAAACACGCCCCCCCCCCCACCTTCATGAAATTCTTACAATTTTTACTGTTTCATTGATAGTAAAAATATATCTAGAAAAATTTGTAAAGTTAAGGAGATTGAAAAAGATTTGCAGGGTTTCTGTAAAGTTAAACATTTTTACTTCCTGGAAACAGTAACTGATTTCTCATTTCAAAATCAAATTCACTCACATGTTTTTTTATTACAGAATTAATTAGTAAATTTTGTGCTTTTGGAAATATCAGTGTATATAATCAGTACATGCAGTTGAGTCACACTGTTTAATAATATTTTAATAATCATCATTACCTGAAGTATTGACTTATAAATAATGAAAGGATATGTCGGGTTTGAATGTTTAAGTTTAAAGTATTGATTGTTTCTGTTAGTTGTTGTTTGCTCGTGGATCTTTGGTGGAACTTCTCATATCTTCCAATATTGCTCGTTATGCTGAGTTTCGAAGTGTGACACGTGTGTTGACGTGGATAAATGGTCGTCTGGAGCCTGTGCCATGCTCTCGAGCAGATGTGTTTTCCACTCAAAATGTTTCGGTCCCTGAGAAGCGCATGCTTATGAAGCTGCTCTCTTCATGCCTTGAAAACGAAGATGCAAATAAGGAATTTGAGGGTAATTATCAACTTTTCTTAAACAAGAACCATTATGTAAATCACAAAGATTTACCTAAAAATCTTTCTCACAGGTTTTGAGGATAAAACGTTTGTGGAGTATTTGAAATCTAAAAAGCTTACTTCTAATTTAATGCACTATGTCCTTTATGCCATTGCAATGGCAACTGAAAACACTCTGTGTATGGATGGTGTGAATCGCACACAGAGGTTTCTGAATAGTTTGGGTCGATATGGCAACACACCTTTCTTGTGGCCCATGTATGGGAGTGGAGAAATTCCTCAGTGTTTTTGCAGGTGAGTTGTTTTTTGTCATTGGATTTTCTTGTACCCAACTCCCTTCACCCCTCGAAATAAGTGTTTTTTCTTTTGCTTGTGGTAGTTGTAAGTTTGACTTTAGAAAACATAAAATGTTAGGCAACTCTGTCATTTGACCTAATAGTTAGGTGTTAGTCCATGGTTGGCATTGCATGTCAAGTCGGGGTTCACTTCCAGAAAACCAGTGATTCATGTTGGTGTGGGCCTTTTGTTTTGACATGATTTCACAACTTCACTGGACAGCTATCTGAATGTACCTAATGGCAACTAAAATTGTTAACTTTTGGCTTTCCGGGAAGTAGTGTACTTCTTGCCAATATTGCAAACATTTGGTCTGAAACCTCCACGCAGATGTGGCTTGACAAAGACAGCTAAGAGTTAACAAAAGTAGGCCACCAAAGCATATGCAACCTTATGGAAATTCTTGTCATGTATAGAAAGAAAGTGTGTGGGTGATAACTTTAGGTATGTATCATCAATGTTATCTCAGTCTGAATTGGGTCTTACACTGATTGATATTAAAGCTTTTTAGTAAAAAAACAAACAAACAAACATACCACAGCCCAACCCTTAGCACATCTTTTCTTTTTTTGTTAAATGGGAGTAATTTAAATTCAACCCAAACAAAACAATTTTGCAGTACACAAGATGTAAAAATATATTCAGGAGTAAAGGATATCCTTTGTTAAAACTATCAGAGCATTTATTAATTTAATAATATTTTAATTCATGTTCTTGGCTCATGCAATTTGTTTAAATTTGTCTGTTTATTAGTATGACAACACTTTCAATATAAATTACCATATTCAAAGACAATTCAATAATTAGTTTCTCTTTTTTGAAAAGTGGAAGAAAGAATGGATTTTAGATTCTAGAACATTTGAAAAGTTCTAACAGTGATCAGCCACTGTTTTGTAATAGTTTAATCAAAAACACTCATTAAATAAATACAAAAATTAAAAATATAATAAAAAAGGGTTGATATTTTTGTTGACTCATTTACAGTCAAATTGGAAGTTTATTTAAAAGTATTACCATTTTTCTCAACTTCTGAAGCATATATCCTGCTCAAGAAGCATAACATCAAGTCATACTTATGTGATTGTTTATCTTAATTACGTTTTTACTATGAAGGTGGTGAGTAACTGCTCTACACTATAAGGGGTGCGTGGTAGAGACAGAGAAATGTCGCATTGGAATTAATTTTAGAAAAGTTAATATCAAAAATTGGATAAAATATACTTTATTAAAGGATAGAAATTAAACTGAACCAATACATCCCAAAATAATGAATAAAAGTTTTCCCTTGCATACCTGGATGTTTAGAAATTCTACAAAAGAGGTTGATCTAAAGATTAGGGCCAAAGAAGGATCAAAAAACTTCTCAATGTTGTGTTAGCAGGCATCGTTTGTGAAATCGTACAATGGACAAAAGTTTTGAACTATAATGGAAGTTGTTTAAGAAGAATAATTGTTTGTATTATTTACTTGTGTTTATAGATACTGTCTGGAGGATAATATCTTTTAGTAGTTTGGTTAGCTCATTATTTTCTTTTAAAATTTAATTTGTTAATGAATGTTTAATTTTCAATTGACATTGAACACACATTTCTTTAGTGTAGTTCAGTAAGATACAATTTCAAACCTATCAATGTATGTTATAGGAATCATCAACCCTAAATTATTAACGGCTATTATATTTCTATCGTTAACATAATTTATTGAAAACGAAAAAATAGTATAATATAGTTTTAATTTAGTAACAAAAATAGGAAATTAGAGTTTTGATGCCCAAAAACATGGACTGATGATTTCAATATGAATGATATTTTATATTCTTATTGAAACTATGTTGATATAAAAAGGAAAAAAAAAAATGGAGACCAGAAGTAAATCGATGGCACAACAGACCAGAGAAAGATCCAAGTGAACTTAAGGCAGGGTATTCTGATATGGATTGGGAAAGAGCAGAAAATAATATTTAGGAGGTGAGTGAAATCCATTTAAAGGAGATATTAAGTATTGAGGGAAATTTGCAGGTGATAGTAACCAAGAAAAAAGAATGAGAATATAAATAATATTGGTACTGAAGGAGCTTCAGTAAGGATGAAAGCAAGTTTCTCCAGTAAAGAGATTAAGCAGCTACCTCTATTTGCTACCAATTTTGCCAGAACCATTGGTGACTGTATAAATTAGGTTTTACGATACACAAATTTTATTCACTTGATGAGAAGCTACAATTTTAAAAGGTCAAATCATATTTCTCTGAAAATATTTACACTAATAATATTAATTGTTTTTAATGATGGTGAGTACAAGAGGAGGGGGTCAACAATTTTGGGGATTAAGATAATTATCTTTTGGGATGATCTAGGCTTCTTATACAAAGATACTGTACTTGGTTTAGCATTTTTCCTCGTCAGAAAAACTGCGGGCCTTTTGGAAGGTTAGTTCAGCAAATTTTTTGTCAGTGTTATGGAACAATAGGTATTGTAGCTTTAATCATTATTGGATGTTTTAGTGTTCTGTTTCGGGAAATGAATCAGGCGTCTTGGAGGGCATGCTGTTTGCATTGCAACTACAATTTTGTAGGGAAGTCAAATTTTGGAATTCTTATTTGATCTCTATTGAGATTTTACTTTTATTATCAATTATTTGATGAATAGCTTTAAAAAGATTCAACACTAAAATGCAGTAGAAGACACTCATGGTATTGCAGAGACAGGCATATTGCAATTGAGGCATGAAATATTTGTAATCAAGTAGGGATGATCTCTACAAAATTGTGACTTGTGGCAACACTATACCAGAAGGTGGTAGAAAAAGAAATGGATCAGACCCTTGAGCTTATTGAATATTCTAGATATACAAGATATTGGTAAATCCTGTACAGTCAAACTGGAAAGTGATATTTCATACTTTTACTACGCAGGCAACTGGAAGTATGTTGATACTTTATATTTGTTGGTGTTTTAGACTTTGTGCTGTTTTTGGAGGACTGTATCATTTGAAACGTGCTGCTGATGCCATTATTATTGATGCAAATGGAGAGAAATGCATAGGCATTATGTCTGGCCAACAGCATCTTGAGACTGCTAACTTAGTGATGGGAGTTGGATATGCCCCTCCTGATTTTGTGAAGACTGCTCCTTCGGGAGGTCTTTCGAGAGGAATATTTGTCACTGACAGGTACAGAAGGACATGAATGAGTAAAATGTGATAATATTGATTTTGATGGAATGATGTGTGCATTTTTTTTCCTTTGAAGATCAATTCTGCCATCTGATAAAGAGTCATTAACTCTTCTTCAATTTCCTCCTTTGGATGGTGCAAGGGAACCAGTGACTGTTATTGAAGTTGGCCACACTACAAATGCTTGCCCAAAGGGTTTATGTAAGTTGTTCATTAAAATCAATTACTTATTGGCTCTTAAAAAGGCAATTAGGAATAGGAATGAAACAGAAATTTCTGTAAAAATTTGATAGATTTGAATTGTGAATTGTGACATTGGTTTGTGCAGATGTGGTGCACATGACATGCAAACAACAAACTACTGCATGTGAAGATCTGAAGGCAGTTGTAGAGCACCTCCTTCATGTGGAGTTTTCTGATGGGACGGTTGCTCGAATTGACACCGATATGAAGGCTACTCAAACTGCTCATCAGGTATTTTTAAATTAAAAGAATTGAAATAATTAACATAATGTAGGAAATATATTGAATTTTCTAGTTGCAATTTATACCAGAATTCTGAAAATGTGTGTTACATTTCATTTACCCTCCTTACAAAATATTTGTGACATTAGAAAATAAATCTTATGATAAGTTGCTCTTGCATTATGCCCTTGCTTTTCCTTGAAATTATATTTTACTTTTTATTTTTCTTCTTTCCAATTTTCTAAATGTTCTTAGCAATTAAGAAGTATTGTAGACTATCAAAGGAATTAAATATTCAATTTCTTTATTATGTATGTAATATTTAAATTTCCTTATAATAAGCACTATGAAAATTTCTGAAATATGTTAAACAATATGTTTGCGATGTATCCTGAAAATTTGGTGCTCAACCCTGGAGGATGTAACTAGAACCTTCCTTAATTTAAATGTTTTAATAATGAGAGTGGCTATTAGTTGTTGAGTGATGCAATGTGGCCTGTAGGAGGGCAGCAGTGCAGAGAATCCGGAAGGTGCAGATGCTTCTGGCGAGAGACCAGCTGCCTTGAAACCGCAGGTGCTGTGGTCTCTTTTCTTCAATTGCCCAGAGACGTCTCAGTGTGACTTCTCTGCTGATGTGCCCTCAAATGTGTTCTTGTGTTCTGGGCCTGACCTGGATTTGGATTTTGAGTTCTCCGTGAAGCAGGTATTCTTTCATTTGCTACCCCTTGATGTATTTCTTATTCTCTACAGTACATGAGGAAATGATTAGAAAAGGAGTTCGTCATTTGAAATTTGAAGTTTTAATAGTGCAAGCCAGTGTTTCACTATGTATTGCCTTTTCTTTAAATGGATTTTATGTTTTTGTTCTTTTTCTTTTGGTTTGCACAGTAGTTTTAGTTTTATATCATTAATGCAAAAAAATGAAGTTCCCCTACCATCATATTTCATAACACTATCAGATCCAATTGTGATGTTGAAACATTAGTAATCTATTAAATGTCAAGAATATGGAATTTTCGTCAATTATGTTTTGTAACTCTTATTAATATTTTAACTTTTATTTCTGAATCAGAAAGTCAATCAAAATGTCTACCAGATTTCCAGGCCTTGTCAAGGCTTCATAAATGAAGACCCAAAATAAAAAACAGTCAAACAGCACCATCATATTTAACTCAGCATTTAACACATAACTTGAAATTTGGAAATGCAGTATTGAATTGACTATAATTTACAATATTTACAAAATACAAAAGGTTAGAACAAAATTTTAGAAAAAAAATCAAAACCAAAAGTATGTCTGTTAAAATTTACCAAATATCCAATACTACTATTATCATTCTTACTACATGTTTAAGGCTGACAATTAGTAGTGTTCTTTAACATCTAGGTCTTCATAGGAAATTCAGTAAATGCTCTTTTATGCTTGAACTATGTAACTTGTTCATCCCCAGGCTAAAGAAATCTTCACCAAAATGTACCCCGAAAGCGAATTTTTGCCCCGAGCTCCAGACCCAGAGGAAATTGTTTTGGAAGGAGAAGAAGGAAGCGGGGAAGGAGCCGAGCAGAAAGAAGGGGAAGAGCAGGGAGATGCACAAGAAGGGCCGAAAGAGGCTCAGTCAGAGGAGTAAAGGGAGTGGATGAGATATCTCACCCTGCCCAACCTTCTACAAGTTCAGACGAGTCTAGTGACTGAAGATACCATACAGAATTGTTTGAATCCTTAGCTTTGCATTACCAAGTGTTGTTAAAGGAAACAAAGCACTCATAAGGAACTAGTTATAAACCATGTATAGCTAATGCCAAATTCTGACTTTTTGTTCAGTGCTTTTGATGTTTGGATTATATTACTCTGCTATTCATTCTAGTCAATCTCATGTTTGATTTACACTATTGTCTGACACAAACAATTCCAAGCTTAAAAGCTCAACAACAAAGAAACACTCAGGATGATGCATAGAAAAACAATCCAGTGTGTTGCTCTTTGAAGCTTGATTATTTATGGTGTGATTATCTTTTAATGAAATGATGCATTCCAAACTTGTTTGTGAAAACATGAAAGTACCATGTATGTGAATAATTTGTTGTTTGCCAATTTTCAATGTTCTTCTGCACCCCAATGTTAATGGAAATATTTGTATTTTTCACTACACGTTGGATTCCTTGCAGAGAAGCGATGCCTTAACTAAGCTAGTGCTGCAAGATCAAATTGCTTGTACTGTGATGGTCTTTTTCTTGTGGATATGTTTGGATCCACAAATGGGAAGTATTTATGAATGTTTTTGAGGATAACACTATTTTGTATGCATTATTTTGCTATGAACATGCTCGACAAATGACTTGTCTGCATAATGAAATTGAATAACATGGTTATTAAACACAGTACTAGATCACTTTATGTCCTATGCTTTTTATATGCACAAATATCTCGAGCAATTAGAAGAATTGCTAGATTCTCACAAAAGACCAAAAAATATTTGTGCCTCGGTGGTGTTGAAAAAGCAAGAGTAACCCAAGTGTGAAATTCAGATTCATTTTGGTACGTTTCTCTCTTCTGTATTCCTGCTTACTAGGATTTGGGAATTGCTGTACTGAGAAAAACTTGAATGTCAGCTGTGAAGGGAACATATACTCATTCTTTAGCTGCCAATGCAGAAATAGGACTCCTGCAAATGAAGCTTATGGAGGTGGTATGTTTGTTTTAATTTGTTGAAGAATGGAAAACCTTTTATCTCTTGGAACAATCTATTTGCAAATGGTGAAGTGTTGCATAATTTAATGTTACTATGGCCATTGTGTAATTGTTGTATACCCCTACTTGAATAAACAATAGATTTTCTCATTTACTGTATCTTTATTTGGTGTATTTTGTAGTATACTTCTGAGAATGAAAATTGCAGCAGCAGGAATTGTGAAATTAAGGTAGGGTACATACCTAATATTTTTTAGTCAATCTGGGGATACTGATTGTGAAGAACAAAGATATCTCTTAATTTACACTTATGTAGTTGAAATCAGGGAAAGTTCGAGAGACAAATTTTGGGAGGGGAAATTCAAAATACTTTGGTTGAATGTGTCATATTAAAGATTCTGTAAAATGTCGCAGACTACACTCTGCTCATGCTGTATTTCAATTTTAATAATTATCCAAACATATTTTTGCTTGGAAGTTTCAAGTTAAAATTAATGGTTACTGAAAAAATTTAGGGGGTGAAATTTCCCTCATTTACCTCGTGGATCTGTGCCTGTTGAAATGTATAATCATGCTACCCATTAAACTATAGTTCTTAAATAGCATCCCTGGATTCCCTGAAAAAATATAATATTCGTGTTATACTGTAATTACCTTGGAGTATATAGAAGTAATTAATTGATCCTAAATGGAAGGGGTGTGCCTCCTATGCCCTCCCTCTAAAATTACGAAAATGGTTCTGAAATGATGTGGAGAGATCCCGGAATGGTGGGAGGCGGATAGCAGGCCTTCTGTCCATCATGAGCGAACTTATGGGTGTAACATCAATGTTTTTGTAGAAACATGATACATCAAAGCCGATATTTTGTTAGTGGAAGTAAAATTCCCATAATTAGATCTTAAAAGTGAATATGTGAAATAACTCATGGTAACATAGTTTTTGTGTGCGAATCAAACAACGCTGTTCGTACTACATTCATCACGCTGTGTTGCTCGAGATGACTCCCCCTGGTATTTCCTACGTGTTTCCTCCGCCTTTCTTCGCACATGGAGAGGCGATCAGCGCATGCCCCATGGGCTTAGAGCCAACCCCTTCGGCGAAATGACCGAGTTAGTCGGACTAACCCTTTGACATATTGGGCGCTCAGGCTTGGTTTGTCCTTTTTTCTTATTATTTTGAACTTTATTTTCAGTTTAATATTAATTAAAAATTAATATACGCGACCACTGTGAAATTTAATTTCGTTTTTCATGACTTTAAAGTTGGAGGTTACTAAACCAGCTTCAAAACATCAATAGTTTTTGGTCGATGATTTTCATTAATTTTTTAACCTTGATGTTTCGTTAGCGATATCGCATCACTATCCGTCGACTTTTTTAAAGCGCCCAATGACATTAGGTCATTGTTACACCTGCCATATGAAATTAATATTTTTAACAGCAGATTTCCGAGGCCACGGGCCCCGTTGAGAAGGACGTTCGCGAATTAATTAAAATATCGAAGAATACTAGGCTTAAGTCGAGCGATCCCAAAGCACGGAGCAACTCGTGCATCATACCCGTCTCATACTCTCATTTTTTAACGTGGCATCTTAAGGTCACACGAAAAAGGGAGAGGGAAGGCAGACTCCAATAGGCAGCCATAAAAGTGGGAGTTGCAGTGACGTTGCAGCTCTATTGTAGTCTGCTTTCCCTCTCCCTTTTTCATGCGTGACCTTGCAATGCCACGTTAAAAAAATCGAAGTGTAGGGTCGGGGCGCGCTCGCACTGCTGACCGTGCCTTGCGTGGCCTTGATTGCATCTGGTCGCTCACGTTGACCTCTTTGCTTCATACAATCCTTGCTAACTTTAGAGTTCCTTACCAACAAATTATTTTTCGTCATCCACTTGGTGATTAATGAATTCATTTAGTTATTTATTTAATTGCTGTCGGAATGAAACGAGATGCTTTTCATGAATATTGCCGTAGGTGATAAAATAATTCACTATATTAATTTAAAATAACTTGTGGGTGAATGTGGTCAACTCAATATAATTCAGAATAAATGTGGTGTTTGTAGAAAACTTCAATCAAAACTGAAATCACACCTGAAGCGAAGCGAAAAGAAAGCTAAAGTCAAATGAAAGGCGCCATTCCAAATGCTATAAAACAACCCAGGCGTGAATATTATTGGGTGTACAAATCGAAAAGGTTTCCTGTATTCTTGGAAGACAAAATGATATTTGAAATCGATCCAAGAACGATTTGGATTGACTCGCATTGTGTTCTCAATTTACTCGTCATGATAATCAATTCGAGACATTCATCACAAATTGCTTAAAAGGAAATACGGGACAGCTCTGCTTCCCTGTTCCAGTCAACATAAAGATAAACGATACTCAAACCGAGATTACAATTCAGATTATACCGAAAAAAATACAAAACTGAACTAGGGCTTTCTCGCATAGTACAAGCAAACAGTTTACGATGTAAAACACTAAGCTGCTATCCTACTATTAACTTGCAATAGATCTGAGTCCGTCATCTTAGGAATCCCTATCAAATATAGTCTTCGGCTGAAAGGACAGGTTAGGCATTGGCTCCGGCAGTTCTGTAGAACAGTTTTTTCTGCTTTGAAATTAATATACTACGTATAGATACAAACGTGTTTAAAAAATAAAGCAAAAAAGAGAAAAACATATTTTCCTCGCCAAGACTGGGAATTAGGTTTATATTTAGATTTATTTTGTTCAAAACCAGTAAAAACTGTGTGTGGGGGAGAAGGTTCTCCCAAGTTTATTCGCCGTCAGCCATACCCCTACGATGTAGATACGCCGTGAGGTTCGAACTCGGAACGAGGCTTAAAAATGTTATTGACTCAACCCAATATTTCCACCAAACAATTTTTGTAACTTCTGAAAATACGGAGAGCTCGCCGAATAAGTGATAGCACCATATTTTTTATCGTCCGTTGTTTCATATCACGAGAAAATTTAAAGAAAAACAATTCGGTGTGCTTTTTTGAGAAAATAAATTTTTTAGAAATTGTACACATTTCAGACACAAAGTACGTGAAATCTACTCGTTTAAAAATGTACATGACCTGTTTTAAAAGCCGATTTTTACGACAGACTTAAAGGCAAAAATCACTGTCTTCAATTTTGTGGTTTTGAAATTATGACTTTTTGCAATTTTCGAAACTACGGGAAGATCGCTGAAAATGGTAGTAGCACCGTGTTTTTTACCGTCCATTGATACATACGAGAAAATGTAAAGAAAAAAATTGGAGCGGTTATAAGAAAAAATAATTGTTAAAAAAGACTCATATTTTTGAAATAATAATTGCGATAAATACTCATATTTTCGAAAAATTGTACGCGACTTTATTTCAAGATGTGTCTTTAAGAAACAGAGGAGCTAACTAATAAAGACATTAAAAATTGCACTTTTGCAGTTTTTGAAAAATCTCGGATTTCAACGAACGTGAGACCTGCACCATTTTCCTTTACGCATCATGAGAACAAAGTTTAATAACAAAAAATGGAGCCATATTTGAAAAAAGTTCAAAAATGTTTTTGAGGCATCATTTAAAGTACCCTCAAAATCAAATATGTTTCACACTCCCAAAGTCTCGAATTCGTCCGGTTCGATCGGAGAATATCAATTTTTGAGAAAATCGACTAAACGGTTTAGTCGCAAGTGTTGACGACAGACAGACGTTTTGCCGTCAATCGATATTTCGGTATCAAGGACCCACAAAACAGATTCTGAGTACGTGTGTTGCAGTAATTTACTATATATAGTGAGATGGGTGAAAATATCTTTAGGATATTTTGTACAATATAAAATTAAAATAATGCCGATAAAACATCGTGGGCAGAAAAGAGAAATATAAGGAAATATGAACAGAAACGAGACGTTGGGAACTTAAGGTTTCAGTTAACGCCAAGAAAAATGATTACGCATATATATTGAATATATTAGTAAAATATTTAATGAACAATATTTTATTAAGAGACATTGTTATAGTAGACAAGAGAACTCAGATGTTATAATTACAGAGGACAAACTAGCATATCGGAGCGACCAGAAACAACGGGAACAAGTGAAAAGCAAAACAAGTTGAGATGTAAAAATAAAAATGTTCATCAGAAATCGTCTAGATTTGATAGAGGTAGGATGAGCCGCCGAGAGCAGTGAAATATATTAGCGAAAGTTTAAAGTAAAGAACACATCTAGATTTGGTAGAGATAGGACGTATCGCTGTGAGCTGTGACAATTTGTTAGTTACAGTTGTTAACTCAGAAAAGAACACGATTTAGGAGACAAAAACGACAATCGCGAATGTTTAAAGCTAATATTAATCAGGAAGCAGGTCGAGTAGGACGCGTACGATTTTAAATACATGTGCTGATAAGAACAGAGTGTGGAATTTCAAGAACCGAAGGAAGGACCACCCTGAATGGACATTTTATCTACTCATCGTCAAGAATGCACTGTATCATGACCAGGAAAGTGGATAGATTAAAGATAAATACAGAGACTTTGATATTTATGAAATGTACAAGGCCTAGAAATTTATTAGAAAGTAAGATAAATTAAGAGAAAGATTTTTATTTGAAATTATTTACAATAAAGTTTTGATAGACAACCTAATTATTAGAAAAAAAAACAAAGTGAATCAAAATAATTCTTTGTTAATAATTGATTAGAAAAGAAAGATAATTCAAACAAATAAATAGCAACTGGCTCTTAATGTCGCTGCATTATAAATTCACTAAAGTTATTATTTCAAAAGTAGGAATTAGAAAATTAGTAAATACCTAGCAAATATAGAGGTATTCAGCAGCCGGATTCTCGTATATTTTCAGCTTGCAAGAAAGAATCAGAGGCGGCTCTGAGATAGTATCTATTATAGCGCCCAATTATACAACCAAAACTGAGTTAGCCATAGATATAATAGGAATAAAAATTAATTAGGAAAAATAAAAGGGCTTCGTCACAATAGCAATAGGATTTATTCCCTTCTTCGTTACGAGGTGGCCAATCCATTTTAAGTGGTCCAGAATTGACTATAGATCGCTCGAACATCTCGAAAAAAAAAAAAAAAGATTTTGTACTTAAATTTCCTTATGTTTTGGCTGTTCTTTAACAATTTTTCTCT